TGTGTGTAATTTTTAAAATTTTATGGGGGAGGGGCCCCCCAGACCCCCCCCTTCGCGTGCTCGCAACTTTGGGTTACAGTTAGACCCCCCCTGGTACAAATCCTGTACACGCCCCTGCCGAGCAAATTGCCAACATTGAAAAACGAACACCCCCCCCCCCCCCAATATAAAGCTGGCTACGGGCCTGCACCTACACACGCGCGCACAGAACAGACAGAGACACATGAGCAGTGACGGCCACACACCACACATGTCGTACTTTATGGTTACGGCTAAGTTATACGTGAGCTATACCTGAGAGCATACCTGTTTGCATTATATGTGGTTATATATTAGCTATAGGTAGTGTTCCTACATCATACATGCGGCATCCCTACAACATACTTCGTTACAAATAACCAAGTTAATTTTTACTCAACCGTGCTGGTATGTTGTAATTGTTGGTTGAGTAAAAATTAACTTGGTTATTTATATTATTCTACCAACCGAATGAACTTATTTAATGAGATACTTCGTTCTGTTATACATAAGTTATATGCGGGACTATACTCCATTATCCTATACGATACGCCATCGTACTTTGTTATCTGGATTACTCAGTTATGAGTGGTTATAACACATAGCTATACTCAGGGTGCTTACATCATACTCATCTATCTGAGCCTGCAGCTGCTCAGCACGGTCTCGTTGGTCGCGTAGCGCCCCCTGGTGGGCCTCCAGCTCGTCCATGCGCTCGCGTTCTAGCCGCTCGCGCTGAGCCTTCAGCCGGTCAATCTGCTGCTCCTGAAATCATAACAGCAATTATGAATAATGCTGCTTGATAAATCACATGAAAGCTTGTTACACGAAGGTTATTCCGCACGCTATGCTGTTGCTCGCAGTAGACTCGACTGAGCATGACTATTTCACTTAGGTTGGGCCATCCTTAAAAAATTCTATGTTTGCCGTCCCCCGACCCATGATTTTTTTAATGGGCAGGTAGGTAGGTCTTCTTTTTTTTTGAGATATAATAGTTATTTGAAGTCTGTGCTCATGTTTGCCACACATGCTTTGTGTTTCGGTCTTAACTATGAAAAATGTCAAAAAAACGTTTGGGTCGCGGCTATTTTCGTGAGTCGGCCGGAGGACAGCAAACATATAATTTTTTAAGGATGGCCTTGCCACATTTACGGACACATTCGCACTCCGAAGGTACCCTGCCACGTAGGGCTCCTGCACATAACTGATCAGGTTGAGTCGGATAATACTTTTCGACGACGACATCGACAATGAAGGACGACGATGAGGAGGTTACCTTGTCTCGAACAGCGTCCTCGAGAGAGGCGACGACCGAGTCGCTCGATTGGTCGAGCTGCAGCGACAGCTTGCTCTTCACGCCATCTAGCTGCTTGTCCTTCTCCGAGATGAGGTCTTCGAGGTTCTCGATCTGATAATGAGAGAAGCAAGCGCAAAGGAGGATGCGTTACAACGACACGTCACCTCTTGGTTGCGTTGTCCGACGGACAGACAGATTGTGCAAATTACCTCCCCCTCCTCCCTCCCCTCTTCTCTTCTTTTCCTCTCTACCCTGTTCCCTCCCCTACCCCTCCTCCCCTCTCCTTCCTCCTTCCTCACCTTGCGCTGCAGTACGTTGATCTTGCGTTCCTTGATGTCCATGTGGTCGCGTAGTTCGTGCAGCTCTCCCCATCATCCTCCCCCTCCTCCCTCCTCCCCTCTCTCCCTCCTCCCTCTCCCTCCCCTCTCCTCTCCCTCCTTCTTCCTCACCTTGCGCTGCAGTACGTTGATCTTGCGTTCCTTGATGTCCATGTGGTCGCGTAGTTCGTGCAGCTCTCCGGCGAGGCGGTTGCGTTCGGACGTCGCCGCGAGCGTCTGCTGCGTCTTCTGCTCAATGATGGCGTTCTTCTCCTCCAGCTTCATCCGCAGTGTCTCCAGCTGGTGGCGGAAATAAGAGTTAACAGGAGACTGCTAGAATGACTTGTAGTTGGTTTGATTACATTAATAATAATATTATAATTATAATAATATTATTATAATTATTAATTATAATAATTATTATAATTATTATATTAATAATATATTATAATAATAATATTATAATAATATTATAATAATATTATAATTACTTTATTAATATAACATAACAAGTACTAGTTAAAATAACTAAGAATTAATGTTTGGAATGTTAGACTAATAATAGACAACAAATGAACAAGAACCTGGAACTAATAATAAGCAATAAGAACAATAATAACAACAATAATAAAAAGAATTAAAACTCCTAAACATTCCCTAAAAAGACGTCGCCGCTCCAAGATGGCGCCACTTACGTCCGTCTGCAGCATGCTCGTGTGTTGCTCCTTGGCGCTGAGCGATTCCTTCAGCACGACGATGTGGTGCTGATAGTCGCTCTGCTGTTTCTTCAGTGTCTCCATGTGCGTGCGCGCGGCAAGCAGCTGAGAATCCCTCTTCGAGATGTCCGCCCTCAACTCATCCAGCTGCACGCATGACGTTATCATGAGTGATAATTACAATAGTTTAATTAGTAATTAAAACAGGACATATTTAGTAGGCGCTGGTGTTATTATGGAATGACTCATTCAGCTGCACGAATGATGCAGACGATGATATATATTATAATAGATTATAACAATAATAATTCAATTAAGGCACATGTATAGTAAGTATATGCTAGTAGTATTACGGATGTCCGTTCACTGTTCGTTCAGCTCTAAGAATGTAGTTGGGAAGAATAGACGTTAAAATCTAAATCTAGCGAGGTCAAAGGTCACAGCAACGTGCACCGCCGGGTTCAGGTTTGCTTATCTCGGATTTGCATCGTCGGCGAGCGTCGCGCGCGCACGCGGCGAAAACACAAGAGCGTCCTCAAGCCGGGGCTGCGTCGCCCTCGGATTTGGCTAGCCTTCATCACCACCCGACGGCCACGACAGCAGCTGAGAAAGACGGAAACGCGGCGGCGCCCCCTGAGAAGGGCGCGTGCGCGGCAGCGCCCCCTATGTACGTACCCGGAACTTGAGCGCCCTCTCGTGGGTCCGCAGCTCGTCGACCTCTCGCATGCTGATGCCGTCCGGCTGCGGCCGCTCTCCCTCGAGCATCACGCCGGACGACAGGTCGTACACGCTGCTTGCCGCCGCCGCCGCCACGTCGGCGCGCCCCCTGGTGACCTGGTCCTGCAGCAGCTTGACCTCGCGCTCGAGCGTGCGGATGTGCGAGTCCTGCGGGAAGAGCGGAGTCGTGGCGGCGGTCAGAGGTGGCGCCACCTGAAGATGTGGGGGGGTGGGGCGGTTGCCCGCGCGGCGTGGCGGTGGAGGATGGGGCGTAGCCGAAATGTTGGCCGTCAGTCTGGGTGGAGTGAAGAAGAGGAGGAGAAAAGAGACGGCAGTGATGTAGATGTGGAGAGGAGGTTTGTGTGTGGTGATGAGGGTGGGGGAGAGAAGGTTTGTGTGTGGTGATGAGGGTGGGGGAGAGAAGGTTTGTGTGTGGTGAAAGGTGCCGTGGGTGGGAAAGGATAATTGTGTGTGGGGGGGCTCCAGCCAGTTTCCTCAACGAGTCAAGTTTGGGTTGTTTTAATGGGTTGTGTGTGCGCAGGTAAGAGATGGTGATTATGGGTATGTAGGTAAGGGCCAAGGTTGGGTGTGCAGGTAATCAGTAAGGTTGTGCTGTGTGTGCAGGTAATCAGTAAAGGTTGTGTTGAGTAAATCAGTAAGGGTGTGTGCAGGTAATCAGTAGGTGTGTGTGCAGGTAATATCAAGTAAGATTGTGTGTGGCAGGTAATCAGTAAGGTTGTGTGTGCAGGTAATTAATCTAAGGTGTGGTGTGCAAGGTAACAGTAAGCTGTGTGGCAGGTAATCAGTAGGTTGTGTGTGGGCAGGTAATTCCAGTAAAGGTTGTGTGTGCAGGTAATCAGTAAGGTTGCGTGTGTTGCAGGTAACAGTAAGTTGTGTGTGCAGTAATCAAGTAAGGTTGTGCTGTGCAGGTATCATAAGGTTGCGTGTGTGGCAGGTAATCAGTAGGTTGGTGTGCGGTAATCATAAGGGTGTGGTGCAGGTTCGCAGTAAGGGTTGTGTAGTGCAGGTAAAGGTTGGTGTGTGCAGGTAATCAGTAAGGTTGTGTGTGCAGTAATCGTAAGGTTGTGTGGCAGTAAATCAGTAAGGTTTGTGTGCGTGCAGGTAAATCAGTAAGGTTGTGTGTGCAAGGTAATCAGTAAGTTGTGGTGTGCAG